AGTACATTTATAAAGAAAGGCCAGTGGGAAAAAAAGAAGAAATCTAAGGAGACTACAACATCTCAGAAACCAAAGAAAAAGCAAATCTTATTTTTTTCATTATTAATTTTAAATTCACAAAACAAAAAGGGTGAGGGAGGAATAAATGAGCACATGGATGCAGTCACTTATTCAGTAGATATTTACTAATATTTTCTCACGCCAGATCCTGTTCTACACACTGGAAACACAGCAGGAAAAATTAAGAACCCTGCCCCTGTGGAGCTCACTCTCTAGATAATAGGTAGCCACACCCAGTGCCTAGTGCTACTAGAGATGTTAAGTAGGACAAGAATAAGCAGAAAGCTACTGGACTTGGCAGTTAGATGCTCTTCAATGATCAGATTCCAACAACCTTAAAGAACACTCTAGTAAAGCAGTGGCAGTAACAGTGAAATTTAGGAACAGCCCTTTAACCTAGCACTACGTCACCAGTTGAAATGCCCACACTCCACACCAGAATATCTAGATTCAATTCCCAACTCTGCCTCCTGACTCCAGCTTCCTGCTAATGCAGACCCTGAGAGACAGGGGCACTCTCCATATGGGAAACCTGAATTGAGTTACCAGCTCCTGGCTTTGACCTGGCCCTATCCAAGCCTTTGTGTGAGCATTTGGGCAGTGGACTAGCAAAAAGTGGGTGATATCTCTATCTCTCTTCCTCCCTCCTTCTCAAATAAATAAAATATTTTAAAATGTTTTAAAGTCACATTTACCACATATATCTCTCTTTTCCCATAAGCTCTTAAAGGCAGGAGCCAGTCTACTTGTTACTGCACTCACATATCTGGCAAACACTGGTTGGACGCATATGTGAATCAGTGATAATGGATTAGGGAATGTGTGTTTGGTAATGAAAAACTGCAGAATGAACTCCTAAATTACATGAATTCATTAGTTTACACCTTCCAGTTCAATAAAGTAGAAGACCATTGCCTTATAAATTATGTTAGAGTTTAGTCTAAAAAACAACAACAACAAGCTAGCACTGTGGTTCACTAGACTAATCCTCCGCCTGCGGCGCCAGCACCCCGGGTTCTAGACCCGGTTGGGGTGCCCGATTCTGTCCCAGTTGCTCCTCCAGTCCAGCTCTCCGCTGTGGCCTGGGAGGGCAGTGGAGGATGGCCCAAGTGCTTGGGCCCTGCATCCCATGGGAGACCAGGAGAAGCACCTGGCTCCTGGCACCAGATCAGCGCAGCGCCGGCTGTAGCGGCCATTTGGAGGGTAAACCAACAGAAAGGAAGACCTTTCTCTCTGTCTCTCTCTCTCACTGTCTAACTCTGCCTGTCAAAATAATAAAAAACAACAACAAAATTTGTATTAACTGGGGGTTTTAAGAGAGAAGACTGTGAGCAACATGGAACAGGGGGAGTAGTGGAAGGACTGACCTCACACAGCTGTAGAACTGGTGAAGAATTTGCTAGAACGCTATGGACGCTGTGTGTCTGGTGTAGGTTGAAAGCCTGAGGACAGTCAGGCAAAGGAAAGGCAAGTGTACAGCAAGGGACCCTGTGGGGACATGCTGCAGCCGCACCTGCCTTCCATCCACAGCAGAGGGCCAGGAGGAGTGCAGGTCTCCTTTGCCATGACACTGTATCCACGTCCAGTCTGTGATTCAGAGAAGCTGAAGGGGAAGAAAGCAGGCCCAGTGGCTGCCCGTGTCTCATTGCAAGGCAGCAGATCTGACTCAGTGAAACTCTGTCTTACCTCTCCTTTCTCCTTGCTTGTATTTATTTGAAAGTCAGAGCTACAGAGAGAGAGAGATCTTCCATCCACTGATTCACTACCCAAGTGGCTACAACTGCCAGGGCTGGGCTAGGCCAAAGCCAGGAGCCTGGAGCTTCCTCCAGGTTTCCCACATGGGTGCAGGGGCCCAAGCGCCTGGGCCATCCTCCGCTGCTTTTCCCTGTGCCCTCATCTGCCCTGCACCAGCCTTCTAAACGTGAGGCCCATTGCTTCACACCCACCTTCCAAATCTCAAGCAAATTGTTTTCGCTACCAGCCCTCACTTCAAACCGACCCCAAACCATTTAGGAAATAAACTCTGGGAAACTTCATTCCAGCTTAGCTGACACATGATGAGGCCACCAGAGTCCTCCCCTTGTCTGTCAGCTGTACCTCTTCTAGCTAAACTCAGCTTCCAATGAAAATGCTAACGAAGTCGCACCTATGCCTGACACTATGCAACCCCTGTCCAATACTAACCGGTCACCTGGGGAAGATAGAGTCCTTGTATCCATCTCTTGGTGATGTTCACTGTTGCTCTAGCTGAGACACCCTCTCCCTTTGATGCCCCATAAGCTACCCACTGAGACATTGCACCACTGCCACTGTGGGACTGGCAGCACTCATTCTCACTGGCACATACACTTTGGATTTCCTGTCCTACTTCGCCTCCTATTACAAGGTAAGGACACGAAGGAAAGGATGGAAACAGCGGCGTGTGTGTGTTTTCATTTCAAAATAAGGAAGCAATACTCACACTACAGCCCTTCTCACTGCAGCTCGCCATGCGGTCTTAGTTGATGGCCATGACTTCCTTCTTCCCTTACCCACTCCACTCTCCCTGGGCCCTCAGCAGGCCCCTCAGGTCACACACATTCCTCCTTGCAGCAACCTTTAATAAGTCAGACTCTGTCACCCCACTCAGTACAGCAAATCCTCTCCACACCCTCCCCTCCTTGCTTATTCGGGCACTGGTGGGAAGAGACCAGATGGCCAGAAGACAACTTCAACTTGCAGTTTCATGGAGCATGGCTGTGTCCTTTGCTGGAAAGGATCCTCCTTTAGGAACTAAATCTTCTACACTACAAGAACACAAAGTCACAAAATGTGGCACAAAAATTCCACTAGTGAAATGCTAGGGTTAATAAATGGAGCCAGGGCAGGCACTGTGGCGTAGTGGGCAAAGCTGCCACCTGCGATACCAGCATCCTATATGGGTGCTGGGTCGAGTCCTAGCTGCTCCATTTCCAATCCAGCTCCCTGCTAATGGCCTGGGAAAGCAGTGGAAGATGGCCCAGGTGCTTGTGTCCCTGCCACCAACGAGAGACCTGGAAGAAACTCCTGGCTCCTGGCTCCTGGCTTCGGCCTGGCCCAGCTCTGGCCATTGTGGCTACTTGGGAAGTGAACCAGCAGATGGAAGATCAGTTGATTGATCTCCCCTGTCCTTCACTCTCTCTGTAACTCTACCTTTTGAATAAATAAATAAATCTTTAAAAATAAAAAATAAAGAAATAAATAATAAATGCTGCCTCTCTCATTTGTACTCCTTGATTTCCCAAACACATGAATCCTGGCTACGGGAGCTTTGGAAAACCCCATGTGTGTTAGGGACTGATTGAGAGCATGCACCCTCCTCTCAGCTCTGCAAGGTGTTCACATCCAGCTGGTGCCATCAGTGACTCTCTGAAAGTTCACTCCTCCCTGCTGTCTGACTGGCTGCTACAGGGTGTTGGCAAACTCAAGGAGACCAGTGCATTGCATCAGCAGGAACCTACGCACTCACTTCATTGGCTACAAAGTGAGTCTGCTGGTCAGAAGTAACAGCACATGGACTACCATGATGAAGGAATAAGGCATCTTGAAATGGTGGTTTTGGCAGAAGCAGGAAAGGCAAATCAGTATCCAGAGTAAATGTAGATTCCAATAAGAAGGAGTGCTGTCACTCACACAGCAGAAGTGGCCCGAGAGGATCTATCTGCCAACAGTGGCTGGCTGATCCCCGGGGGGAACGCTGCCACTTTGAAGGTTGGGTGCCAGTCTCCACTGTTACAGGCTGATGAATCAGCAATGCTATAGTGCCACTGCCTTTGGTGCAACAAAGTCTATGAGCTGAGGCCACCATGGTCTCTAGTCCAGCTGCTATGGCCACTTGATGCGTGAGCTCATTGAGCAAGAATAGACGTAGTTAGGGAAAGAGTCAGAATCCCACGGAACCAACACCTTGCCTACCTGAGTATTTAGGTCACCCTACTGGGCTGCCCACTAACAGTCACACGCATTCTCTGCCCACTTGGAGGTCTCTCCATGGGTCCTCCCCAGATTTCCTTATCACCATGTCATCAGTTGTGTTCCTCCCCACCCCTTAAGGATCTAGCCAAATCATTAGCCCTTGCCAAGGAGTCAAGACATCTGTTCCACCAGGCCAAATGAGCCAGCATGTGCAGAGGTCAGCGTCAAGGCCAGTGGCCTTCAAGGCCATCTAAAAGTGGGGCGACAGTATTGTCACCACCCATATCCAAGTAATGCCAGGATATTGTGCAGAGTCCTCTCAAAACTAGGCCCAAATTTTCTCGACAGTTTAAGTAGAAAGGGGATTTTTTATGACAAGTTATAAAAATAATTTGCCAAATAAACGGGAAGTTTGAAAAGACAGACTCAAGGCAAAGCTTCCAGGAATCGTTCCCAAAGTCATGACACAGAACCAGGCCACCAAGGGAGATGCTGCTCCTGCCATGACCAAGATGCTATCAAATCAGGAAGCCTCCAGACTGTTAGAAGCCATCACTCGGGGGGTTGGATGCAGAAGCCTGTCCACTCCAGCCCCTGAATAACCAGGCACAAGACATGGAGGCCTCTGATACAGCTGCTTACAGAAGATGCGATGCTTCCACGATTGTTGCTTGCCACAAAAGAAATAGAAATGTGAGATGGTGTCACCACGTTTCATCTTAATTTCATTTTCCAAATCTCATCCAGGTATCCCTGACTGATGGAACCCAAATCACATCCAGGGACCTCGCTGCAAGGTAATCTGGGAAATGTAGTTTCTGGTCTCCCAAACTCTGTAGAGCAGGAAGAGATCCAAGAAGAAAGTGGGGAATCGATTTTAAGCAAGCCAGTGCATGTTCCTTATTGTACAAGGGAGGCAGTGAAAGTGTGGTTTTCTCACGTGAGGAGCAACGTGGGCCAGTGCTGCGGCTCACTAGGCTAATCCTCCGCCTGTGGCACCAGCACACCGGGTTCTAGTCCCCATTGGGGCGCTGGATTCTTTCCCGGTTGCCCCTCTTCCAATCCAGCTCTCTGCTGTGGCCTGGAGGATGGCCCAAGTGCTTGGGCCCTGCACCCCATGGGAGACCAGGAGAAGCACCTGGCTCCTGGCTTTGGATCAGCGCAGTGCGCCAGCCGCAGCGCGGCAGCCATTGGAGGGTGAACCAATGGCAAAAGGAAGACCTTTGTCTCTGTCTCTCTCTCTCTCACTGTCCACTCTGCCTGTCAAAAAAAAAAAAAGGAGCAACATGAACGTGGGTATAGGTAAGGGAGGATGCACATTTGACACACTCTTGAGAGAGAGAGAATTGACAGAGCAAAATCATAAAAAGGAAAGAAAACCTTCACCACATAGGAAGAGGAGAGGAATTTGTGCTCTAAAATAATAAAGAAAGAGGCGCAGAAATGCAGAAGTGAAACAAAGGGGACTCTTGCTGGGCGACCTCCACATCTAGTGATCCGTCTACAATGTTCTCCCAGTGCAGGTGCATTTGAACAGGAAACGAGAAATTCCCATCCGAGTTCTAACGCTCTGACCGCTCAACTTGAGTCAGTGAGGCAAGGGCTTTGTCAGTGCTGTGAAGCCAACAGAGTATCTTGTGGACAAACACACTTAGAGCGAGAGAATGGAAGATACGTAATTCCCACAAGGCTTAATAGAGACAGGAATTTGAAAATCTCTTTTTTTTTTAAATTCAGTGACTAAACATATGTGAAGGCAGAGAATGTACATTGTGATAAAAATTATGCACGGATTTCAAAATTTTTGCACCAAAATAAACTTGACTCTTAATTCCATTTCTTCACAAACATCTGAAATGCCCTTGTATTTCTTGGGTGTGTACTGTTCTCAGCTATAGAAGGGAGGCGACCAGGTCTAAGACAGCATCCGCTTTGGAGAAAGCTGGCTCACTCTGTGGGGCAAAGGAAAACTGAACACTTAACACATACCAAGATAGACTCAAGGTGGATTGAAAACTTAATGGAGAGGCCTGGAAATTTTAGAAGAAAGTATAGGATATCTTTGCAACCTAAAAGTAAGACAGAATATTAGAAAAACACTCAAAGCATAAACTAATAAATTCACAATTTGATTGTATCAAAACACAAAAAGTATGCCTCTGACAAAATTAACAGATGGGAAATTGGAGGGAAAATGTGTGCACCACAACAAATTTGAGGGGCAGGAATCTCACCAGCAGTTAAGTCACTGGGTAAGACCCATGCACCCTGCATCAGAATACCTAGTTGTTGGGTCCCTGCCACCACATGGGAGACCTAGATGGAGATCTCCACCTCTGGCAAAGCCCTGGCCAATGCAGGCATTCGGAGAGTGGACAAGCAAATGGGAGGGGTGTGTGTGTGTGTGTGTGTGTATGTGCGTACGCATCTTGCTGCTTCTCAGATTAAAAAAAAAAAAATCAATCAAAACCAATCAGAGGCTGATAGAACATGTAGTCTTCCCTCAGCAGCCACAAGGTATTGGTTCCTGGATACCCCCACCACCTGCCAGGACACCATAACCCCAGGGATGTCCAAGTCCCTTATATAAAATAATGTAGTACTTGCAGGCCACTCCTACACTTTCTCCTGTGTAACTTAAATCATTTCTAGACTATGTATCATACCCAACCCAATGGAAATGCCATGTATGTAGTTGTTACACAAAATTGTTTAACGAGGGAAGAAAAGAAGCAAATTTTGTTCACAGTCACTACAGACACAATTATTTTTCTGAACATTTCAACACACTATAGGTTTAGTCCTCAGACATGGAAATTGCAGATCCGGAGGGACGGCTGTCTTAGAAATCCCTGCAAATTGACTGTAACACAAAGGGAGAACACCAGTAGGAAAAAATACAGACAAAGGATACGAACGAACTCACAAAGAAGCAAAACCAAAAAGACCACAAGCTTTTGAAGAGATGTGCACGCTCATTAGTCATTACAGAAACACAAATCAAAGCAACAATGAGAAATCCCTTCACACCCATTGACTGGCAAGAGAGAAAGCTGGACGATGTAGGATGTTGGAGAGAACATGGGGACAGAAAGAGGAACCTTGCATGAACTCCCAGTGCAAGTGTAGGCTAGAATGGAAGAAACCTTGTGGAGAGCAAACTGGCAGCACTCACACAAAGCACACACACACCCTAGGACCAGTCATTTCACTCCTAGATGAACACCACCAAGACACTGTCATCTGGCTCCAGGAGGTGGGGGCACAAAGAAGAGGATCGTGGCAGAGACAAGCGTGGGAGCCCATCTCAACTTCACCCCCAGCAGCACAGGAAGAGGCCACTTCCCCAGCATTCCTTGTAGTCATGGCCACGGGATGGGGTTGGGGAAGGCCTCTTGTGAGTAGAAAGGATGCAAGGTACAATAAGAAACACATTGGCTCTTTGGCCCCAGCTCCCAGCACAGAGTTCCTAAACCTTTACGCTTTCCAGAGTGGCAGGAGTGTCTTCTGTGTGCTCACAACGAGCCCCTTTTTATTGTACCTGAATTTATGCTACTGAGTGATTTGGGGTAAGGTCCCTACATAGCATCAGAATGAGTCAGCTTATTGGCTGGCGCCTCGGCTCGCTAGGCTAATCCTTCGCCTGTGGCACTGGCACCCCAGGTTCTAGTCATGGTTGGGGCACCGGATTCTGTCCTGGTTGCTCCTCTTCCAGGCCAGTTCTCTGCTGTGGCCCAGGAAGGCAGTGGAGGATGGCCCAAGTCCTTGGGCCCTGCACCCACATGGGAGACCAGGAGAAACACCTGACTCCTGGCTTCGGATCAGCGCAGCGTGCCAGCCATAGCAGCCATTTGGGGGGTGAACCAACAAAGGAAGACCTTTCTCTCTGTCTCTGTCTAACTCTGCCTGTCAAAAAAAAAAAAAAAAAAAAAAAAAAAGAATGAGTCAGCTCACCCACCAGAAAGACCAAGTGAGGAGAAGACTGGAAATTTCAGCCCCAACCTTCAGGAAGACAGGAGGGGCATGGACAGTTGGAGGTAAAGTCTTATAAACACGCTTGGACAGAAGATTTGATGAGTTTCTGGGCTGCTAAACCCGTGGAGGGGTGCAAGGGCGGTGGTCTCAGATAGGGCAAGGAAATTCGAACCTTCTTTGCCTCTACCTTGCCCTGTGCCATTACTTCCATCAAACTGTCCATCTGTAGCCCTTGGGAGACACTTCATAATAAACCAGTTAGTGTAAGTCAACTGTTGCCTTGAACTCTATGGGCTATTCCAGCAAATTATCAAGCCCAAGAGAGAGGTCATGGGAACCCCAATGTATAAGCAGTCATGCAGGTAGGCATGCACTTGCCATTGACATCTGAAGTGCAAGAAGCCTTGTGGGACTGAGCCTTTCAACTGTAGGTTCTGTGCTAACTCCAGGCAGGTAATGTCTGAATACTGAATTAAATTGAACTGAATTGAATTGAATTATACACAGTTGATGTCAAAGAATTGGTTGGTTTGGGGGGAAACTGCACATGTGATGTCAGAAGAGGAGTGCTGGTGTTTAGCCTTGCGGGTGAAATGTCTATGTTCCACATTGATATCTCTGGGTTCAACGCCAGGCTCAGCTGCTGATTCAACTTCCTGGGAGGCAAAAGTAATGGCACAAGTACCTGGGTTCCTCCCACCCAGGTGGCAGACCCAGATGGAGTTCTAGGCTCCTGGTTGGCCTGGCCCAGGCTCAGCTGTTGCAGACATTTGGGAGGTGAACCAGGAGATGGGAGCTCTGTGTATGTACATCTCTGCCTCTGGAGCAATTTTTTTTAATTTGTTTGAAAGAAAAGAAGTTCAATGATAGGACTAAGAATCAAAGGGGTCACATAAACAAGACTAGTGTCTGAAAATACTAACTGATAGAACAAAAAAGGGAGAGAACGATCCAACATGGGAAGCGGGATACACAGCAGACTCATAGAATGATGGATGTCTAAACAGCACTCTGGCCTCAGAATCAGCCCTTAAGGCATTTGGATCCGGCTGAAAAGCCCATGAGAGTATTTCAGGCATAGAAAGCCAAGACACTCTGTCAAAAAAAAAAAAAAAAAAAATGACCTAAATGAAAGATCTCCGCAAGTGAGATCCCAGTGGAAAGAACGGGTCATCAAAGAAGGAGGTACCTTTCTCTGAAGGGAGGAGAGAACTTCCACTTTGACTATGACCTTGTCTAAATATGATCAGAGTCGGTGAACTCAAAAGGCTTCCATAGCCTTGGCAACTCATGACTGGAGCCTAGGGAGATTACTGATGCCATAAACAAGAGTGTCAATTTGTTAAGTCAACAACAGGAGTCACTGTGCACTTACTCCTCATGTAGGATCTCTGTCCTTAATGTGCTGTACATTGTGATTTAATGCTATAACTAGTACTCGAACAGTATTTTTCACTTTGTGTTTCTATGTGGGTGCAAACTGGTGAAATCTTTACTTAATATATACTAAACTGATCTTCTGTATATAAAGAGAAATGAAAATGAATCTTGATGTGAATGGAAGGGGAGAGGGAGCGGAAAAGGGGAGGGTTGCGGGTGGGAGGGAAGTTATGTGGGGGGAAAGCCATTGTAATCCATAAGCTGTACTTTGGAAATATATATTCATTAAATAAAAGTTAAAAAAAAAAAGAAAGGAAGGAAGTTCGGAGTGGAGAGAAACACTGTAGTAGGCACTTTTCTCAGACGCTCCTTGACTTGGGCACTTCCTTGACCCTCCTGCCGTCTCAGCCCCCTTAGATGTGCAGCAAGGGCAGAGTTGGGTGCAGAGCCTAAGAGAGAAGCAACTGAGCTCCTGGAGCACTGCACGGAGAAGGCTTTCCTGGGAAGCCGCCCTACCGCGGAACTTTACGTGATCAAGAAACAAGTGTTTGGGGCCTGTGCTGTGGCATAGCAGGTAAAGCTGCTGCCTGCAGTGCCAGCATCCTATGTGGGCGCTAGTTCAAGTCCTGGCTGCTCCACTTCTGATCCAGCTCTCTGCTGTGGTCTGGGAAAGCAGTGGAAGATGGCCCAAATGCTTGGGCCCCTGCATCTGCGTGTGAAACCCAGAAGAAGCTCCCAGCTCCTGGCTTCGGATCGGTGTAACGCCGGCCTTTGGGGCCAACTAGGGAGTGAACCAGCATATGGAAGACCGATCTCTCTCTCTCTCTCTCTTTCTCTCTCTGCCTCTCCATCTCTGTGTAACTCTGACTTTCAAATGCATAAATAAATAAATATTTTAAAAAAGAGAAGAAACGAGTGTTTGCGTGTTAAGCCACAGAGGTTAGTAAATACATTCTAGCTTTGTCTATCGGGACTGAACATGGATATTGATAAGCGACGTGGGATGCTGACACTTCAAAACAAAGTGACAGTGACAGTGAGGCAGCAGGCAGTGAGAACACGGAGAGGAGAGGCTGAAACACGGAGAGGAGAGGCACTCATGCCTGCCTACTAGACCACAGACTGAATGAACTTGCACCCTAAGGGAAGGGGCAGGAAATAAGAAACTTAGCAATGCGGGTTGATTGTTATTGATCGTGTTTGGCAAGAAATAAGTGAACACGGAGAAGAACTGCCAGCTTTGAAAATAGATATTCTAGCTATGAAAGTAGCAACGCCTAATTTTCTTAATCTCAGATTTTCTTTCTAGAAATGAAGAAGGCTGGGGCTAGCATTGCGACATAGTGGGTAAAGCTGCTGCCTGCAGTGCTGGCATCCCATATGGGCACCAACTCATGTCCCAGCTGCTCCATTTCCTATCCAGCTCCCTCTCTGCTAATGGCCTGGAAAAGCAGCAGAAAATGATCCAAGTATTTAGGCCCCTAACATTCATGTGGGAGACCCGGATGAAGCTCTTGGCTTCAGCCTGCCCAGTGCTGGCTGTGGTGGCCATCTGGAGATTAAACCAGCAGATGGAAGATCTCTCCCTCTCTCTCTTTAACCTTTTCTCTCTGACTTTTAAAAATTAAAAAATATATATTTTTAAAAGAAATAAAGAAGGCTTTTGAGTGTAGGAGGCTCAGAGACACAGAGCAAAGGCAAGCCTAAGAGCCCATGAGACCATTCAATTTAAAAAGGGGGAGGGAAGGAGAGTGGGAGAGGAAGGTGGGGGAGAGAGAGAAAGCAGCCAAGGGCAAAAATCAGTGCCTGAAAGGTGTGATGATTTCAGTGTGATGGCTTCACGTGTTGACATTGAAGCCCCATAGTGAGATATTAAAAATAGAAACTTCATCCACATATGGTGCCTAGCAGCGAGGCCTCTGGAAAGGGGTCAGGGTTAGGTGTATTCAGTAGGGTGGAGCCAGGCAGCTCTACAAGTGGGGGAGGGTAGAAGAGGTGCATATGTCTCTCACTGCCTCCGGACTCTGCCAGGAAGAAGGCCATCACCATGAAGTGACACCACCAAGGGGGACCCCGTAAGAACCTGCGCAATGCTGTTCAGACTTTCAGCCTCCAGGACTGCAAGCTAAACAAACGTCTTTACAAAGTTAGCATGTCTCAGGAATTTTGTTATAGTAATTTAAAAAAAAAAAAAGCTGACTAATACAAAGGATGTGACCTGGAGCCCTGTCGTGGTGGAGCGGGTCAAGTTACACAGCGATATCCCATATCAGCTACTCCACTTCCAATCCAGCATCCTCTGGATGCCAGTGCATTCCCTGCCATCTATACTTAGCAAATGGGAAATCAAAGGGTGGATGCTGCTTGCTTCAGACGTGAATACCATTACACTCATCCACTGGCCTAGGGCTGCCGCCAACACGTGCCGTGGTACTTACGTGCAAAAATGGACAGTCGGAACTAAACACAGGCAGCCCCCAGGATCTCTGGAAGACTGCGTCCAGGACCCCATGGATATAAAAATCCACAGAGATGCTCAAGCCCTTCACGTAAAACACCATAGTACTTACACATAACCTATGCCCATCCCCCCACAAACCGTAACTCAACTCCAGGTGGCTGATAATTGCTAATTCTATGAAAGCAGTTGTTAGACTCTGTTGTTTGGGGAAGGAGGACAAGGGAAAGAGAGCCTGTATGTGTTCAGCACAGACACAATTTTTCCCCCAAATATTTTTGATGTGTATTTGGTTAAATCTGCAAACATGGAACTCAGTAATGTGGAGGGCGAACCGTACTGACCTGCAAGAAACTTTTGCAAATTGAATCTTTTGGAAACCAATGTCTGTTCTAGGCAAAAAAGGGAGCACAGAGAAGAGGTGAGGCCACACACAATCTGATGGCTCAGGCCCTTCCCAATTGGAGGAACCACAGGTACCGAGACTGGAGTCGACGTGAACATGATAAAACTTGGGAGTATGGGTAAAAGGGGTGCATTTATGAAGCTACTTATAAAGATGTGGCAAAAAGTGCAGTGAGTGAGCAAGACTTCCCTTCTTCCAAACCTAGGGACAACAGACACCTGGGCCCTTCGCTCAGAGCCTAGGGCAGCACACTTTCTGATGGATAAGCCATGAAGTCTGGTGGTCTCATAGGGAGGACGCTACCCGGCATCTCTACCATTCAACTCACCGCGCACCTGCTGATGCTATAACTCAGTCCTTCCAACAGATGGACACCTCAAGTCCCAAAGAAAACTTCCAATTTCCTAGCTGTCATGGGTTACAAACTAAAAAGAAACAGATAAAATAAATATGGATCACATATTTTATTAAACCCAATATATTCAAAATATTAGCATCTCAACATGTCAACCACAAAAAAAAAAACATTGATGGATACTTGATATTCTATTTTGTTCATAACGGCTTGTCTTGGCTGTGGCCTCTAGAGTTTGGAAAAAAAAGCACCAAAAAAAAAAAAATTGGGAGCTTTTGATAAGCAGGGATGGGAGTGTGTTCACTAAACGCTTCTCAGAAAACATGCTTTCAACATTCAAGCAAGGGCTTCCTGCAATTTTATGCAAATGGCAACTGACAGGAGTCAATATGTACATCCAACCAAAGCAAGTAAGTAAAATGCAGGCACAATAGTGCATGCCAACTAAGCCCATTGACATAAAACACAAAAACAAGCAAGACTAATGTGTACAGTTAGAAACGGACAGCGGTTACCTCGGGGACAGGCAGGACTTGAAGGAGGCACACAGGGCCCAGGGCTGCTGGTGATGTCCTGTGTCTCTACCCATGCTCTAATCACATGCATGAGTTCAGCTGGGGGAAATTCAGCAAGCTGTTCACTTCTGATGTGTGGTTCCTCTGCATGTGTGTGTGTGTGCCAGTATGTGCACATATATGGGTATACATACACAAGTATATTGAGGGTTCTTCAAAACATTTGTGGAAAATTGAGTGAAAAGTTCTTTATTTGGGGTCAAAGAAGACTTTGAAATTCATGCATCTGAGGGACCTTCAAAAAGTTCAAGAAAAATATGTATCAGGAAAAACCTATGCATGAATTTCAAATTTTTTTGAAATGTATCTTTAAATTTATCTTTTAATTCCATTATGAACTTGTTGGCACTGCCTTATATACAAATGTATGTACAGAATTAAAATATTCAATAAAGACTTGGACTTCCTCTGTAGCACAATTCAATAATTGAAAGATCAGAACTTTGATAGCATGTGTTGGGTAGGTCATCTTTATAAAGGACGACTAACAAATATCGTGGCATAGGAGACGCAGGATGTACAAACTCTCCGGTTTTCACAGTGAATAAGTCAAACATTACACTTTTCTTTTACCTCAATTAATCTGAATATCAACCATGCAATTTCAAAGAATTAGTTTCCTAAATATACGCTAAGCAGGCTCTAATGACCCCAGATTGCCTTGCAGGTGCAGGAGCCGTGTTAATTTCAGGCTGCACCTCTTCCTCAGGTACTAGTCAGTCTGCTGCAGTTCTCCCACCTCTGCCCATGAACCACACAGCATAGTCCCTTGGGAGCCCTCGGAAACTCTGTTTCTGATGAGACATTTGCACCCTCACATTTACTAGACACAACATTAAGAGCAAAACACCATACTAACAATATGAATTTCAGTACAGAACACTTACTCTCCAAAGACTACAGCATTGCACAGAAAGCACCAAAAAGAAAACAAGAGGATAATGTGGGGTCAAGGCTCCATGTTCTCTCTCTCAAACAACTTCTTTTTTTTTTTTTTTAATTTTTGACAGGCAGAGTGGACAGTGAGAGAGAGAGACAGAGAGAAAGGTCTTCCTTTGCCATTGGTTCACCCTCCAATGGCCACCGCAGCCGGCACACCACGCTGATCCGATGGCAGGAGCCAGGCACTTCTCCTGGTCTCCCATGGGGTGCAGGGCCCAAGCACTTGGGCCATCCTCCACTGCACTCCCGGGACACAGCAGAGAGCTGGCCTGGAAGAGGGGCAACCGGGACAGAATCCGGCGCCCCGACCGGGACTAGAACCTGGTGTGCCGGCGCCGCAAGGCGGAGGATTAGCCTAGTGAGCGGTGGCGCTGGCCTTCAAACAACTTCATTTTCAATTACTCCCCACAATTTCCACCTCTGCACACACCCCTCAGCAACGAGTCTGGCACCCAAGAAAGCAGGAGCTCGCCGAAACCACACCGAGGACCCACGGTGCAGAGTAGGGCACCTGGAGCTCACTTCTGCTCTTCTAATACAAAGCAACGCAAGTCCATCAATGCAAGGGGACTCTTACTTCAATGCATACCCACTAGACAGAGACGCTGCCACCTACAGCCCTTGTCTGGATGGAGCACCAGGAGCCCACACACAAGCCTCTGCAACAATGATGCTATGCTCTCAGGGTTACTTTATTACAGAGTCTCTTCCTCTGGAAACTGTCAAGGGAAAGGTATTTCAATAATACCCCCGACACATAGTAAGGGCCCTTGAATTTAATTTTAAATAATTGTGTTAAAGTAAGAGAAAAGTTCTAACCCATAAATGCCAGGAGACCCGTCTCCAGGGCTAAATAAACATTCTTAAAGCATAGCGTCATCACAAAGGTATATTTATGATGGTGTGAGACTATAAAAATGGAGAAGATCACTGCAGATCTTTCAATGTATCCAAGGCTTCATTTTTTTTTTTTTTTTTTTTGACAGGCATAGTTAGACAGATAGAGAGAGAGAGAGAAAGGTCTTCCTTTCGTTGGTTCACCCCCCAAATGGCCGCTACGGCTGGCGCAGTGCCGATCCGAAGCCAGGAGCCAGGTGCTTCCTCCTGGTCTCCCATGCGGGTACAGGACCCAAGCACTTGGGCCATCCTCCACTGCACTCCCGGGCCACAGCAGAGAGCTGGCCTGGAAGAGGGGCAACTGGGACAGAATCCGGCTCCCCAACCGGGACTAAAACCCGGCGTACTGGCGCCGCAGGTGGAGGATTAGCCAAGTGAGCCAAGGCGCCGGCCCAAGGCTTCATTCTTTATAACAACTGGAGAAGATGCATCCTGAAGAGTGCTTTGATGGGAGACCTTGGTGCACTGGAGAGAGCTGCTTGCAGTTGTCTGTGTGCTGCAATATGCCCGCTGCGTGGAACAATTCCTGGGCCTGTGGTGAGTACATGAGAAGTAGTTACTGCATGAATGTACCAAGGAGCCAATTGTTCCAAAGCACTGACAGTTTCTGCAGTGTTCTCTACTCCCTAAAAATCTCACCAGAAAGCCTCATGGTCCATCCAGCTCATCAGAACCAACTGGGGTGCTCATTATAATGCAGATGCCTAAACCCTAAGCCAAAGGTAATACTCCAGAAAAACAGAATCAGCAGGAGGTGGGGGAGGCAGAGCAGAGAGAGAGAGAGAGAGCCCATCAGTGTGCACTCTGAAGGATTTGGCTGCCAGATGCTAGGGGCTGGCAAACCCAAAATCCATATGGCAAGCCTGGCAGGCTGGAAATTCAAGAAAGAGTTGACTCTGCAGGATGAGCCAAAGAGGCTGGAAACTCAGCAGGGCTTCTATGTTGATGTCTTGAGCCAAATTCCTTCTCTTCCAGAAACCTCCGTCTTTGCTCTGAAAGGTCCTCAACTGATTGGATGAAGCCAAAGCCACAATATGGAGGGTGAACTATTTAAAAGTCTGCTGATTTAAATGCTAATCACACCTTAAAAATATACCTTCACAGCAACATGCAGTCTGGTGCTGCGCCAAACAGCTGGGCACTGTGCTCTCACCACACTGAGACATGATATTAACCCCAGCCACCATGCAAACTGCTCCCTCCACTTTCTCTTGCTATAACAAACTTGCTGAGACCTGGAAATTTATAAAGAAGTCTACTTCACTCCTGGATCTGGACACTGGGAAGTTCAAGGGCATCTAGTGAGGGTCCTCCTACTGCACCATAACACGGCAGAGGGCACCACACAGAGGACACAGCAAACGTGTTAGCTCACCTCTTTGTTCCTTTATGACAAAGGTCATTAATGAGGTCATGGCTTCATCCTCACCACCTCATCTAATCCTAATTATTTCCCAAAGACGTCACCTTCAAATGTGATTAACATGTGAATTTGGGGATTGTTTCCAACCTGGTAACTTTTGGAGAAAACATTCAAGTGATGGGAGAATCAAACATTAAAATGTTTGATAAAATGCAAAAGATGGGTGGATTCAGAGTCCACTTGGGAGTCCACATCCCTGGGTTGGTTCAAGCTCTAGCTCCACTCCCAATTCCAGCTTCTTGCTAATTTGCACCCAATGGAAGCAGCAGGTGATAAATCAAGTAGCCGAGCCCCTACCTACTGCCCATGTGGGAGATCTGGACTGAGTTCCCAGCTCCTGGCTTCAGCCTGGCCCAGCCCAGATATTGTGTACATTTGGGGAGTGAGCCAACAGAAGGAAGATCGATGTGTGTGTGTGTGTGTGTGTGTGTGTGTGTATGTATTTCTGTCTGTCTCTCTCTCTCTCTGCCCCATCCCTGAGAAAGAACTTCTGAGATCAATCCCATTCACAATAGCCACAAAAACAATCAGGTACCTTGGAATAAACTTAACCAAGAATGTCAAAGATCTCTATGACAAGAATTACAAAATATTAAAGAAAGAAATAGAAGAAGATACCAAAAAATGGAAAAATCTGCCATGTTCATGGATTAGAAGAATCAATATCATCAAAATGCCCATTCTTCCAAAAGCAATTTACAGATTCAATGCTATACCAATCAAAATACCAAGATATTCTTCTCAGATCTAGAAAAAATAATGCTGAAATTCACATGGAGAAACAGGAGACCTCGAATAGCTAAAGCAATCTTATACAACAAAAACAAAGCCGGGGGCATTATAATACCAGACTTCAAGACATACTACAGGACAGTTATAATCAAAACAGCCTGGTACTGGTACAAAAACAGATGGATAGACAAATGGAACAGAATGGAAGCCCCAGAAATCAATTCAAATATCTACAACCAACTTATATTTGACAGTTCTCAAACTGTACTCTGTGTTGTGTGTGTGTGTGTGTGCGCAAACTGTCGAAATCTATGCTTAACATGGAGTTGGTCCTCTGTATATAAAATCAAACTAAAAATGAACCATAATGAGGTAATAGTAGCGGGTAAAGCCGCCGCCTGCAGTGCCAACATCCCATATGGGCGCCAGTTGGAGTCCCGGCTGCTCCACTTCCGATCTAGCTCTCTGCTATGGCCTGGGAAAGCAGTAGAAGATGGCCCA